GCCATTTTGGTCGGTGGCAGCTACAGTAACCCGCTTACTGTCTGTCTGTCTGTCTGTCTGTTTGTCTGTCTTTCTGTCTATCTTTCTGTCTGCGCCAAATTTTTTGCGCAACTCGCCATAACTTCCCGTTACGTGGATCAATCCTTATGATTTTGATGTCATTTTGTAGATCTCAACAAATGCAACAAAATGACATCAAAATCATAAAGATTGGCCTACTTAGAAGAAAGTTGTAGCGAGTTGCGCAAACGACCCAGTTGCGCCAAAAAAGAATGGCGGAAACTAGCCTACCCCTAAGATTTAGAATATAAGCAAGCCAAAATTCGTTTATACCCCAAATTTCGAGTTGCCTTTTTGCTACCGTACCCCCAGCAACCCATTTTCTATTTGTTGCTCATCCATTTTTTTATTGTTCCTTGTAAAAACATCATTTTTTTTTTGTTTTTCTCTCTTTCCTGAAAAATTGATTGGTTTGATTGGTTTGATGTCACATAGTGTCATTTTGTTGCACTTGTTGAGATCTACAAAATGATACTAAAATCATAAAGATTGGCTCACTGAGAAGCAAGTTATGGCGAGTTGCGCAAACGACCCCGTCGCGCAAAGAATCTTTATGATGTTTTGGTTGTTTTGGTATAATTTTGGTTTCATTTTGTTGCACTTGTTGAGATCTACAAAATGACATCGAAAACATAAAGATTGGCCGATTTAGAAGAAAGTTATGGCGAGTTGCGCAAATAAAATGTCCGAAAGCCTACCCCATCAAATTATCTTGAATAATTTGTCTCGACTAAACCGTGTCCCCTTTCTCTTTCCACCGTAATCTTGTCTCTTTTTTATTCAATCTTGTCTCTTTTTTTATTCAATCAATCCACTTTTTTTGATCTTTCAATATCCTTTATAATACCCTCATAGAATCAAACAAAAGGTGGATAAAAATAGAGACAAGATTACGGTAGAAGGGGTATAATTACGGTAGAAGGGGTATAAAACGCATGTCCTGGCTTTTACCTACAAAATGATCTACAAAATGACATAAAAATCATAAAGATTGGCCCAATTAGAAGAAAGTTATGGAAAGTCATGCAAAAGATCTGGCGCAAAGTAGCTATTCCCGGCAAAGGTCATTAGAAATGCGTTAAGCGGTTTTCGCTTTAATAACTTTGAAACATGAACTTTTTTTCAAAAGCTCAGCAGAGTTTGGAAAATATATTTCATAAAGATTTACGTGTTTATCATATTTTACGATTTGAGCGTCAAGTAATTAAAAAATCTTTTGGTTTATCTCATGTCACATAGTGTCATTTTGTTGCACTTGTTAAGATCTACAAAATGACACTAAAATCATAAAGATTGGCCGATTTAGAAGAAAGTTATGGCGAGTTGCGCAAATAAAATGTCCGAAAGCCTACCCCATCAAATTATCTTGAATAATTTGTCTCGACTAAACCGTGTCCCCTTTCTCTTTCCACCGTAATCTTGTCTCTTTTTTTATTCAATCAATCCACATCAAAAAAATCACCTTGAAGGAGCTTTATAGGAACTAAATAGGGACTATAAAGGAGCTTTAAAGGAGCTTTTTATCTTTCAATATCCTTTATTATACCCTCATAGAATCAAACAAAAAGTGGATAAAAAAATAGAGACAAGATTACGGTAGAAGGGGTATAAAACGCATGTCCTGGCTTTTACCTACAAAATGATACTAAAAGCATAAAGAATGGCCTACTTAGAAGAAAGTTATGACAAGTTGGGCAAAAAATTTCACACAAAATAGCCGCCACCCCTTCATTTTGTAAAAAAAAAATTTCTTCTGCATTGATCTTTGTTTTTATTAGCTTGTTATCATTGATTTTCATTTGTTGTCGAATTTTTTTTGATTAAATTGTTAATATTGGCGAAAGATTGTATTTTTTTAAACGATCAAACTAAGAATACAACAAGATTGAGGACTGATTAAAGTATTTCAAGAATTACAGAATTTGCAAGAAAGAAAAAAATTTCAGTTTCAAATTTTTACCTGCACTTTTCAATATTAATTTCACTGCTTTTTGCAAAAAAAAAATTGAAATTTAGGAATTTGGAAAAACGATGTTTCAAATTAATTTGAGTTTTGATTGATTTTTGGTTTTTTTTGATTGATTCGATATTAATTTTTGTTTTCATTTGCTTCTTTTTATTTCATTTTCATTTGATTTTCATTTATCAATGAATTTGAGCAATTAGAGACTGTTGTAACTATTGTAAACATTGTATTGTACTATTGTAGACATTTTATTGTATTATATTGTCTTGTAACGATTGTAAACATTGTATTGTATTGTCTTGTACTATTGTAAACATTGTATTGTACTGTCTTGTACTATTGTAAACATTGTATTGTACTGTCTTGTACTATTGTAAACATTGTATTGTATTGTCTTGTAACGATTGTAAACATTGTATTGTATTGTATTGTACTATTGTAAACATTGTATTGTATTGTCTTGTACTGTTGTAAACATTGTATTGTCTTGTATTGTACTGTTGTAAACATTGTATTGTATTGTATTGTAGCATTGTATTGTATGGTATGTTAATCAGTTATATTGTTTTCTCTTGTATCGATTGTAAACATTGTATTGTCTTGTATTGTACTATTGTAAACATTGTATTGTACTGTCTTGTACTGTTGCAAACATCGTATTGTATTGTATCGTATTGTCTTGTAGCTATTGTATTGTAAACTATTGTAAACACTTTTTATCGTATTCTCTACTAATTCTTATCAAAAAGAAGTCAAAAAGCGAGCAAAAAGCAAGCAAAAATCGGGGGAATTTAGCAAATTCGACTCGAAAAATGCTTTGCTTCTTTCGTCACCGTTTGAAGAAAAATTTAGAGAGAGAAATTTGGGGAAATTTTTGGAAAATTACAGACAGAGAACGAGGATTTAGAAAGAAAAGCACAAAAATCTAGAAAAGAGAGAAAAGAAAGTGATATCTTTGAGAAATTTCCGATTTCTTTTAGCTTTTAGCTCTTTTATTTTTTTCTTTTACAAACTATTGATGAGCTGATAGTTTTTTTGAAGAAATTGAGCGGAAATTGATAGAAAACTGACCGAGGCGTTGTCTCATTGCAAAAAAAGAACGGAAACGAACATTCGACTAACCAAAAATTTCGTTTTTCATTTTTTTTTTTTTTTTTTTTATTGACCTCAAGAAATTTTTTTTTATTCCAAAACTTTGAAACATTGTTTTTTATTTTTTTGCTTTTTTTGTTTTTTTTGCTTTTTTTTGTTTTTTTTGAAGTTTTTATCGTAAAAATAGACTAAAAGATTAGATTTTGTTTAAAAAGAAAAAAAATTGGCATTAAATTTCAAGCATTTCAAGTATAAAAGCCATTTAAAAATAAGAGCCATTTAAAACTCTTATTTTCAATTCTTTATCTTTAAGATTAAGCTAAAGAGATTTGGAAAAATCCGGTCGAAAGCGAAATCATCCAGTTATGCGGGAAAAGGTGAAGGAAAAGACGGAGAAGATAGAGGAGAAGACGGAGAAGATCCTCGTCTCATTCTTTGTCCCCCTTTCCATTCAAAACGATTCGATAGATTCGTTCATTCGATAGATCGAGGAGAATGATCGGATCTAGGTCAGACTGTATTCTTCTCTTCATTTTCCCCCATTTTCCCCATAGATTTTCCCCAATTTTCTCTTTTCTCCTATCCCTTTTTCATAAAATCACCACGAGGCTCCTTTTCCTCTTGAGAATGCACCCATTGATCTACTCGCTTTTAAAGATTTTTGTCCTGATAACTGGATACAATTTGTTGGCCAAGACAAACTGGTACTAGGCCAATTTTTCGGGCTTTGCCAGGTCCCAGATCAGGCTAGAGATTGATCAGAAACCAGGTCCTGGCTTTCAGAAGCCAGGATCTGGTTCTTGACCAAGATCTTAACCAGCACATCTTTGCCCATTGACAACCGGATACAATTCTTGGCACTTTGATTGTTTTCCTGGGCAGACTAGAAGAGAGTTGCGTTTGATTGGACTCGGTTGAAACATCCCTAATCTACCGTGACTTACAAATCCTAGAGCCCCGTTGGAACATGATTTGACCGTGCTTGGACAGACCAGGCTAGAGCTTGGTCTGACTAAAGAGGCCTGACCAGAACTGGTCAGGCCTCTTTAGGCCAGGTCCTTTCCAGGCCTCTTTAGGCCGGGTCCTGTCCAGGCCTCTTTAAGATAGGTCCTGTCCAGGCCTCTTTAGGCCAGTTCATGCCCAATCCTGTTTAGGCCAAGTTCTGTCCAGTCCTGTTTAGGCCAGTTCATGCCCAGTCCTGTTTAGACCAGGTCCTGTCCAGTCCTGTTTAGGCCAAGTCCTATCCAGGCCTTTCCTAGAACACCATAAACTGTTAGTACTATGGTTGTTCCAAAGCTAATTTTCCGTGACTAACTCTAGTCCAAGACAAATGAGATTTCATCCTTCAAAAATCAAAGCTCTAACAGAGCTTTGATTTTTGTGTAAGAGTTGCTTGAAACTTTTCTTTTGAGGCATCCATTTAAAGCCAAAACCAGTTCTTCGCTCATTTATCCAATATCTTTTCACTATTTTTATTTAAATCATTTTTTTGCAACTATTAAGCTTTTCAGAAATTCTTTTCGTTCCTTTTCGCAAAAAATAACAAATTCATCAATTAACTTATGGTTTTCTCTAAATAAAATTTCTCTAAAATAAAGTGTTTCTTGTTCAATTTCCAATTTTGAATGTCTTTCTGAAAATCTAGTACAAAAAGTACAAAAAGTACGAAAAGAAGCGAAAAGATTTTCTGGATGGCATCGCTAGCATTAACTTCTAAAGATCTTTCTGGAGTACCTATTATTTGAAACACAATTTTCAATCCTTTACATTTCATTTACTTTTCATTTTTCTATTCTTTTTCCATTATTTTTCTATTAATTCAAAAGCTTTTAGATCTCATCAACGAATATTCTTTTTTCTATTTCTTTTAATTCATTCATTTATGCAACGTCTCGATTGCCACGTTAAGGAGTACGCATGGGGGAAAAAGGGTGAAGAGAGTGAGGTCAGTGGAAAGCTATTTTGATGAAAACCTATCGATTTTGTTAATCTAAAGTGCTAATCTAAAAGTAAATGTTAATCAGTAATTGTTAATCAGTAAATGTTAATCAGTAAACTTTAATCGGTAAACTTTAATCGGTAATTGTTAATCATTAAATCTTAATCAGTAATTGCTAATCATTAAATCTTAATCAGTAATTGCTAATCATTAAATCTTAATCAGTAAATGTTAATCAATAAATGTTAATCAGTAAATCTTACTCAGTAAATCCTAATCAATAAATCTTAATCAGTAAATCTTAATCAGTAAATCCTAATCAGTAAATGTTAATCGATAAATGTTAATCAATAAATCTTAATCAGTAAATCTTAATCAGTAATTGTTAATCAGTAAATGCTAATCAGTAAATCCTAATCAATAAATCCTAATCATTAAATCTTAATCATTAAACCTTAATCAATAAATCTTAATCATTAAACCTTAATCAATAAATCTTAATCATTAAATCTTAATCAGCAAAACCTTAATCATTAAATCTTAATCATTAAATCTTAATCAATAAATTTCAATCGTTTGCTTATTGTTAAACTTTAAATTTAATGAGTAATGTAGATGTGAAATAGCTGATTCACTTCAATCAATTCATTTCTATCAGTTAGTGTAAAGTCAATGATTTTGAAACATTTTCCATTCAATTATCGATTCTAAAAGCCGTTTATTCTAAAAGTTTGTTCTAGGCAAGAGATTTAGAAATGAAAAAATGAATCTAAATCATTTTGCGCTATGCTTAAGTGATGCTTTTCAGCAAAAAAGCACAAAAAAGTCACCAAAATCTCAATTCTCAATAAATTTCCCATTTCTATGCAAATAATTTGAGGATTTTAGAGCTAAACCTAGCATTAACTATCAATTACTAGCTTAGCCGTTGATTTTCTCCTCGAAAAAAGCTTTGATTGCATTTCGTTTGATTTGGTTTCATTTAATCTAATTTGAAACACGAAATTTTTCGATTCAGGTGGCGACTCTCTTTGCCGCCGGTCATCCGGAATTTTTCGTCGAAAGAACGAATCCATATGCGGAGGTTTGTAGAATTGTTTCATTTTTATTTCATTATAGAAATCTCTTTTCATTTCTATCGAAAACAATTTGCTTAATGGTTTGATATTTCGTTTTGTTGGCCGTTTTGTTGGCCGCTTTGTTGGCCGTTTTGTTGGCTGTTTTGTAGCTAGAAAATCGTTTCCTCATCGAAGCTTATTTCAATTGAAACTTCGAAATTCTAATCTCAATTTACAAATCATTGCCCAAACAATTTTCCGTTCGAATTTCATTGTTTAGTGAAAAAGAAATGACTAAATTCTTGCTGAATTTAGTTGAATTTAGCTAAATTTAGCTAAATCCAGCGAAATCCAGTGAAATTCAGTTAAATTCAGTTAAATACAGCTGAATACAGCTAAATCCAGTGAAATCCAGCGAAATTCAGTTAAATTCAGTTAAATCCAGCGAAATCCAGCGAAATCCAGTGAAATTCAGCTAAATTATTGTCCATAAAGAGTCACTTTCTCAGTTATGGATGGGCACTCATCCCGATGGACCGGCACGAATTGCATCCACGAAACAACTCTTATCATCTTTCATCGCGAAATCCTACTCATCGCAAATGCTCTTCAACAATAATTTGAGGTTTAATATTGAAAGAAATTGAAATCTAAAGTGAAAACAAAGAGATTGAAGCAATCACTATTTTTCTGTCAAAAAGGTTTGCTAATAACAAGTGCAAAAGTAGAAGTTTCAAAATAAATCATAGCCGGACAAGTTTGATTTGTTTAATCCCACCTAAATTGAACAAAAGTAGAAGTTTCAAAATAAATGATAGCCAGCCAAGGTTGATTTGTTTAATCCCACTCAAATTGAACAAAAGTAAAAGTTTCAAAATAATTCATAGCCGGCCAAGTTTGGTACGTTTAATCCCGCCCCCCGGCCTACAAACACAAATTGAATTCAAACTAATTGAACGTCTCAGCCAAGGTGTCCAATGCTTTGAAACTCCCAATTCGCCCTCAGCTTTTCTTTTGGCATGTAATTTTAAATCTAATTAAAAATGTCTAAGCAAGATACTATTAATTTGGTGATTAGAAAATTAACTACGAAATAAATTGAATCAATAGAACTTGACCGAGTATCATTTATTTTGAAACTTCAACTTTTGTTCAATTTGCTTAGCATTAAACAAATCAAACTTGGCCGGGTATGATTTACTTTGAAACTTCTACTTTTACACTTAGTATTAGCCATCTAAATTCTGTTTTTGGCATAAAAATCTCAAAATTCAATTGTTATCTCGAAGCTTTGAAAAATCATTGATCGTTTTGGGGATTATTATCGTTATCTTTTTGCAGAAAAGACATTCATTTGCCGTTTATAATGAAAGTGATGAGCATCGCGAAGACTCTGTCCCTTCAAGTACATCCGACAAAGGTTTGCGTTTACTTGTGTAATGCTTTAAAAGTTTATATTTTAAAAATTAACTAGTTTATGGTAACGTTTAGAGATTCGGCTAAAGATTCAGCTTAAAGGCTTAGCTTTAAGGTTCAGCTTAAAGATTCAGCTTTAAGATTTAGCTTAAGATTCAGCTTTAAGGTTCAGCTTTAAGGTTCAGCTTAAAGTTCTGTTTTAAGGTTCAGCTTAAAGATTCAGCTTAAAGATTAGCTCAAAAATAAAAACTTCCAGGAACAAGCCGAGCGATTGCACGAGTCGGACCCGGTTCACTATCCGGACAGGTGAATTAACTGAATTAACAAATCCCGTATTCTCTCTAATAGTAGTGAGCGTTGCCTAAATTGCTCGAAATCTCGAGAACCGCTTATCAGAACCTATCGATGTGGGGTCGGAAAATGTAGCTGACGATGAGATCTAGACGATGGGGGATTTGAGTGTTGAGCTTCTGTGAAAACTTTGAAAGCCGTAAAATAGTCACCAACTCGGCCTAAGCCTAAGCTCGCCGGGGTACATTACTATTAGAAAGAATACGGTATTCTAGTTATTTTTAGAGTTAAACTAGGTAAACTTAGAGTTAAACTTTGAAACATTTACTTTTGAGTGAAGAAAACTGGCAAAGAATAAAGAATGAATTTACAAAAATACTGAAAAAAATAAAAATAAAGAATTTCAAAACCATTCTTCAGACATCACAAGCCCGAACTCGCCTACGCACTCACCCAATTCGAACTGTTGTGCGGTTTTCGGCCAGCTCGCGAGATTGTCGCAAATCTGCGCGCGTTTCCAGCGCTTAAATATTTGATGGGCGTACAAGTGGGAGATTTATTTGATTTTTCAAAATTAAATGCAGATCTAATTGCTTTTTTTTTGAGATTTTTGAAATTGTATTATTTAATTTTGAAACAAGCTTTTTATTTTTTGAAAAAATTTTTTTAAATATCGCTTTTTTAACATTATAATATGTTAAAAATGATGAAAAAAAATAAATCCAAAATTTTCAGAACAGCGAAAAACTGATTGAGATTATTGAATCGGGTGCCGATCCGCGAAGCAACAAGTGCAAGGTGGGTGAAAATGGATATGGAAAGTTGTAGAAGTAAAATTGTGTTTGTTTTTTGGCGATTTTTTTGCGTACAACCGTACAGTCGCGTGCTCGTTAAATGTTTTACCGTTTAACTTGGTGAATAGGGTGTGTACATCTCGAGTAAAGCGGTTTTTAACGCGCAAATCAAGAAGAATGTTACTGTAACTTTTAAAATGGCCGAGTCGATTACTTTTTGGTTCTAAAACGAGCGACTGTTAGGTTGCAAGTTCGAAGCCAGTCAGAGCAAGTAATTTAAAGAAAGAATTCTCATTTACGTTGATAAAGACTGCTAAAGACTGCTACGGGTCTCCCTAGATGGGTAATTAAACCGGGGATTGAAAAAAATCCGAGACTATCTCCAGTGTCCATGTGTCAGAAAGTGAGAGTTGGACCTCACCTTGAGAAACGATTGGTGGCTTTAATTACAGCCTGAGCCTGAGCCTGAGCCTGAGCCTGAGCCTGAGCCTGAGCCTGAGCCATGACCCACCAGGTACGCACAAAGCCATCCCCATGACCCAGGTGATACCCATGACCCAGGCCATCCCCATGACCCAGGTAATTCCCATGACCCAGGGAATCCCCATGACCCAGGTAATCCCTATGACCCAGGTAATTCCCATGACCCAGGTAATCCCCATGACCCAGGTAATCCCTATGACCCAGGTAATTCCCAAGACCCAGGTAATCCCCAAGACCCAGGTAATTCCCATGACCCAGGTAATCCCCATGACCCAGGTAATCCCCAAGACCCAGGCAAAGATATTTTTAACCCGTAAACCACAACTGCAACTTTAGAATGGACCATAAGTCAAGTAAACTTGACGCTTTACTTTGACGCTTACTCAAGTAATTACTAATTACTAATAATTACTTACTTCAGATCTACACACTCTGATTCAGTTTCAAGAGCTATGAATGAACAATAAGTCCATCATTTTGCAGATTGGCTACAATTGTTTACAATTAATTTTCAGATTCTCTAACACTAACCCTTTAGTTTGAAACATTACTTTTCTCCCCCAAGCAACTAATTGTTTGCGTTTGCGTACACACTCTATTGGTGGAGATTTAAATGTAAACTAAATTATTATAGTCATTCAATAGCTCTGAATCTCTTCTTAGAAACTGATACAAAATTCGAGAACTTTCTGCGAAATAAATAACAAAATTCCTTGAAAACGAGTTGACACCAAAAGTCAACGTCAGTATGACGGTCAACCGGTGGTTGTGAATGTCGTGAATCGTGAATGATTTGTCATTCCGATCGTCGTGAATGTGTTAAACTTCAAAAACTTTCTTTAGTCCCGTTTGGCCGCCTGTTTCGCTTATCAGCTTGCGCAGCCAAAAGATCGAGTCGAGGATTTTGTCGATGAGCTTCTCGCATCAATCTCACGTGGAGGTTCGTGATTTGCTTGTGAAAAGCTTGATTTTGAAAAATCCTAGTCTATTTAAAGATTTTGATTGTTGATTTTACATTTTACATACACTGACACTAGACGCTGACACTAGACGCTGACACTAGACGCTGACACTAGACTAGACGCTGACACTAGACTAGACGCTGACACTAGACTAGACGCTGACACTAGACGCTGGCTTTGAGATAATTTGAAACAAGTAATCTCTATTTCTTTCAAGTATTCAACCAAAATCGCTAATAATCGGTGATAATCAGAAACATTAGTAATTTAAATTTGTGGCAATGTAAATATTGCTTAAACATCCTTTTGTTAATGATTCCCAAGGGAATTTCATGGCCCAGGATTAAAAGACGCAAATAAATAAACAAACATTATTAACAAACAAACAAACAAACATTGAACGCAAATAAACCCAACCATTATTTTCCCGATTCCAGCTCGTGGCTGTCTCACCGAGTCCACCGTCAGTGTGATCAAGAAAATGTCAGTGGATTTCCCGGGAGACGTCGGCATTTTCGCGCCACTCTACCTCAATCACATGGTCCTCCAACCGGGCCAATGCTGCTACTATGCATCGCAAGAGTTGCATGCTTATTTAAGCGGAGGTTTGTAATGGTTATTGATACAGGGAAAGTCTTGTACCAAAATTTCTATATATTATAAGCTTGATAAATTATAAGACAGTCTTTTCGTTTCAAGAGGAAGCTTACTTTCAAGAGGAAGTAAGCTTCCTCTTGAAAAATAAGAACTGATAACTAAATTAACTAATAACTAAACAAATTAACTAATAAAACTATGGTTTGCTCGAAAAGGATTTCAAAAAAGATAAGTGAAAACGTAGATCATAACTCTGGCTCTTACTAGTTAATCTTTTTGAAACACGTCTTTTAAAAAAGGAGACTTTTTTTCAAAAACGTTTTCAAAACAAAACAAAACTACAACAAAGCAATCAAAAGCTTTAAAGGAATTGAATATGGCAAAGTTCAGAATGCGTGGAATGTGTGGGCTGTTCGAATAACACGATTCGCGCCGCGCTCACCCCGAAATTCATCGATCACGACGCGCTCATCGAGGCGCTCAACTATCAGATGACCGAACCGGAGGACTATTTGGTGAGTTGAGATACTTTTATATAAAATTAATAGCATAAAATTGGGGATATACTGTGTAGAACAAGTTAGAAAGATCAATTTACAAGAGTTATAAGAAAAAGATCTGAACTTTTTCTAAAATAACAAATGCTTGTTTCAAGTTATTTAACTAAAAGAGGTGCAAGCGTCTTGGCAATTTTGGCTTGGTTATTCAAATCTATATCTTACGTCGGTTTTTCTATCGTTCAGCCTACGCTTTGTGGGTTTTTCTTGGTCTTTTTATATACTTTGCTTTCTTTTATAATGTTCTATGGTTTTTTCAATTTCTATCTTTATAAACAAACAACAAACAAGCACTAAATGGCTTAAAAGAAATAAAAAACCAAACCAAAGCTAAACCAAACCCAAAAGATATAGAAAACCCTATTTGTAATAAAGTTCTTAAAGCTAAAACCTTTTTTACATCATCTTCTAAAACAACACTAATATTAGAAAAAAAAAATCGGTGCTTTACGGTTAACAGCGAGTCGTTAACGGCAGTCGAGTGCTTATCAGGGGCCCCGAGTTTTTGGCCTACTTGCAGCTCATTTTTAAGCACCTTAAACTTGTCAGTTCAAGAAGTTCTAATAAGATTTAGATAGCTTGGAACGTCAACTTTCAGAAACTATTTGTTTCATCAAAAGCTAATAACAAAAACCTACCTAAAATCGGACTACAAAATGGTCAAAAACTTGCTCCCCCCGATAACCGTAAAGATCCAAAAAATATAAAAAAAGAACCAAAAATGAATAATATAATTATACTAGGATTCCAAAACGGACAAAAACGGACGATTCTGAATCAGACGTTCATTCTTGAATACCGTAAATACTCTAATAGAACGTCATCGCCATCATTTGATACCCAAGCGAACACTGTAACATAAAGCAGCGCGGAGAACGGAGCGTGTATAGATCGGTGTACAGTAGTCTACCTTTGAACGTCCATTCTTCATTCTAATTGATTTTATCTTGCAAAATTAATTTTGGATTCAAGGGTCAACGTTTTTGGATAAGCAGAGATTACCGTAATTATATTACCGTAATATCTGGCGCCTCCCCCCATAATGACGGGGTGTTGCCGCGTAGTCTAACTTTACACGCTCCGTTCTCCGCGCTGCTTTATGTTACAGTGTTCGCTTGGGTGTCAAATGATAGCACTTGAAATCAAGTATTTTTTGATAACAAAAGTGTAGTTAGGAGAGATCTACGAGCTGAGAAAAAGAAGAAATAAGTAGAAGTTTTTCTAAAAAGAAGTTAGATTCCGCGGCTGTACGGCTGGCGTTCTATTAGAGTATTTACAGTAGATTCAATGACAGACGTAACATATAAACTTAAATCCAAAGTTTTACTGTACAAGCAATGTAAATGAGAGCTTGGTTAAGCTAGTCGGGCAAAAATCTCAGCAAACAGATTCGCTTGTTTCAAGTTTTTACATTAAAAAGCTTCAAGCGGTTGGGTAATTGTTTAAATTGATTAGCGAACAAATTCTTTTATTCAATTCTTGCCATTCATTTCTTTACTTTATTATATTGGGTTGGTGAATTGAAAACTGCGGGCTATTGTCCTATGTGACCGTTTGAGGACTTTCTTCAAAAGAAACCCATTTTGGTGTCAATGGAAAAGTTGTAGAGAATCAAAAATCAAGCTTATATCCAGATTTTCAGAACGATTCAAAAACTTGTTTTCAAGAAATGCCAAATTTACGAATTTTCACAAAACTTGCATTTTAAGCGAAACTACTAAGTGTATCTTTTTGGAAATTTGGCTATAAGCCTAATTTTTGATTCTCTACAACTTTTCTATTAACACCAAAATAGGTTTCTTTTGAAGAAAGTGCTCAAATGCTCAAACTGGGACATCTCCAGTCCTCCATTTTTGAGTCTCACACTTGTCTCACACACAAACCAAAATCCTACTACGAAAGAGGAATCCGCAAATTGCCTGTAAAATGGGCAGAAGTCGTCAATAATAATGGAAATTATTTCGAATGAATTTATGGTTTTATGTTGAATAAATTTTAGTTCAAAGTCCAGCAGTTTTCAATTCACCAACCCAATATATCCAGTTATTTTATGGTAGCGATAAATGATAAATGATGATTCCCAGGTGCCCGCTCAACGACTCCCAACTCATCCAATTGTTGACGAGTACGCGCCCGATTGCAAAGATTTCCAACTGCACAGAATCAGGGTGAGACTTTCAAAAAGATTTCAAACTAAAGCCTAAACTAAAATGGAATTCCATTACCGGCTCCATTACCACAGCTTTTTCAGATAGAAACCTGCACCCAGACACCGGCTCCATTACCACAGCTCGAATGCGCCTCGATTATGGTCGTTGTGAAAGGTGCTTAATGTACTTTGTGCTTTAAAAAGCTGTAAACACACTCGTTTCTAGTGCATTTAATGCATTTAATGCATTTCCTTTCTTCATTTTCTCTTTTCTTCTTCATTTTCTCACAGAAATGATTGAGAAAATCAAGAACTAGAACTAGAAACTAGAAACTAGAAAAAGAACTAGAGCTAGAGCTAGAAAGAGTTTGTTTACAAGTACAAAAAGTACACAAAAGTACACAAAACAATGCGTAGATCTGAGGAAATAGCTTTTAATGCAAAACATGATCTGAAGCTTTCCCGTGATTTTTTTGTCAAAAAAAAGTCAGTTTCTTTTCTTTTCCTTTATTAACAAAAGATTCAGGGAAAGCTTTAATGATTTTAATGACTTCAATAATTAATTTCTTTCCAATCATTTTAACACCTTTAACTTTGAAACAAAGCTTTCAGGCACCGCAATAATGGACGAGATGCAACCGGGCGCAAGCGGTGAAGCGTTGGGCAAAAACGAACGACGAATGGTCAGAAGGGGTGAGTGAAAGAAGGAAATGGGGGGAAATAGTTCAAAGGATGGATACGTGTTCAAATTAATCATAAATATGGCTATGGATTGTCCTAATATCTATGTTGTCTGGAAAAATCTTACGTTGATTGGGTTGGTGAATTGAAAACTGCCGGCTATTGTCATATGTGACAGTTTGAGCACTTTCTTCAAAAGAAACCCATTTTGGTGTCAATAGAAAAGTTGTAGAGAATCAAAAATCAAGCTTATATCCAAATTTTCAGAACGATTCAAAAACTGGTTTTCAAGAAATGCCCAAATTTACGAATTTTCACAAAACTTGCATTTTAAGCGAAACTACTAAGTGTATCTTTTTGGAAATTTGGCTATAAGCCTAATTTTTGATTCTCTACAACTTTTCTATTAACACCAAAATAGGTTTCTTTTGAAGAAAGTGCTTAAACTGGACAAACTGGGACATCTCCAGTCCTCCATTTTTGAGTCTCACACTTGTCTCACACACAAACCAAAATCCTACTACGAAAGAGGAATCCGCAAATTTCTTTAGTCAATCAACTGCAGTAAAGCAAAATATTCTCAAATTTCTAGGTGACATCATCTACATCGCGGCCGATCGCCGACTCGCCTTTGTGCACTGTTCAGAGGATCTCGAAGCGTACAGAACGTTTTCTTACGAGATTGGTCGGTTTATAAAAAGAAAATTGATTGATTTATTGGCTATAAAAGTTAAGAGGCTTTCTAAAAAGACTTTTTATGTTTCTAAAAAGAATTTCTATGATTGAATGGAAAATCTCATCATAATTCCAGTACTGCATAGGGTTTTAAAAGCGGTAAACTTGAAAGAAACCATTTTTCCTTATAAGCTAGTGTAAAAAGATGCTAGAAAAATGATGTTAGAAAGTATTGAGGATGAGCAAAGAGGGAAATAATTCTTTTGCATATCCACGTAATTTTAATTGCTTTAAATCCTCTCCTTTAATAGGTTTAGTTTGAAACTTTCCATTTGTTATTTGTAGGAAAAATAAATTCCCATTCTTCCAATAGATCTTTTATTTGTTTTCAATTCAAAGGAAGCCCTGAGTGTCCGTCAGTCAGAGCTGACTCTAGATCTCGCTAGCTGACTGTAGCCTGTCTTTCTGACTGCTTGGAACATCACTACCGTATCCTCTCTAATATTAGTGCACTCTGAGCGTCGCCTAAATTCCTCGAAATCTCGAGAACCGCTTATCAGAACCTATCGATGTGGGGTCGGAAAATGTAGCTGACGATGAGATCTTGACGATGATTAGAGGGTTGAGCTTCTGCGAAAGCTTGGAAACCGTAAAATAGTCACCAACTCGGCTCGCCGGGGTGCACTACTATTAGAGAAAATACGGTATACACAAAAAGCATCAAAATTCGTAAAAATCATTCCCAAAGAGCTCAATTCCAGGCCCTGATCACGAGATCGCGGCACCGGACTCAATTCTTCTCTCAAGTCCATCGCAGAAAATCTCGCCAGTTCCGTCGAAGGCCATCCTGACCACAATTGAAAAGGTAACTTTTTAAAAGATTGTTATTTTACAGTAGTCGGCTCGCTATGCATACGGTAGTCGAGTAGTACGGTAGTCTGGTTGTACGATAGGATGATTCAAATTCTAGTATTACTTTCAGAAACTCGATCGCAACGACTCGGGCATCGTTTTCGAGGTCGAATCGGAGATTGACGGTTTTTGTTAAAAAAAATGAATCGTTTGTAGTTTTAAATTTATTTTTCTCAAAAAAACTGCCCTATGAAGCTATGAATTGATCGATTTTTCCGCCGTATTCCTATTTCCAACAACAGCTTAAAACAATCGAATTTTGATATCTGAGATCACTTCCTCCCACCTCTTCACTCTTCTCGCTCTCTCACCTAAAGCATAAGTGTCACTTCGAGTATTCGTATGTGCCTTTTTAAATAAAATAGTTTGAAAACTTATTCCGATAATCTTTATTGTACACATTGAGTGTAATATGGCTTAAAAAACGGGGAATTCTTTTACACGAAATCGCAATGAATCACTCTCAAACACTTTGTACATCAGAAAAAGATACACGTAGATATCGAAAATTCGCAGATGGGTTGCTCACATATTATGATAGCCAAGTATTATACCAAAACGAACCCAACAAATTCAATTGAATTAACTAGAAAAGCACTAGGTATCGCTAATCAACCAACTAATAAAATGTTTCAAATGTACAGATTCCCTCAGCCAAAAGAAACAAGTGTAACGAAAAGAGCAAATTCTCGGTACTTCAAAGGCAATTCGCTTTAAAAGCTAGAGAAAGTCTTAAGTGATTTAAATGTTGAACGTTAATTGACTGCCATTCACGAGGGCTTCTCGTAGTCAGGGTAGTGGATCTCGCACATCGGTAAGGCTTGGCGAAGTTCTTGGTAGATTTTTGGCTTTCCGTATACACGTGGGAGGTTGTGGATGAGAAGCGATTTGAGGCCACTGAAAATATGATTGAAAATTGGCCTTTAAAAAGACAAAAGCCTCAGCTAACACAAAAGGTAATGATTCCTGTTGTTAAACTTCTAAAGCATTTTTTAACACTTCAAAGATGAAAAATATGGTACTATCCATTAGAACCAGTTCAGGACACTTGGGTATAACCGGATAACGCTTTAACACTATTATTGTTTAATCAAGAGTAGCAGAATACTTACGTGCACTGTTTGAGGTGAGCTAGACCATCCTCGGTGATACGAGGACACGAGTCGATTTCGAGGTAGTTCAACTTCTTGCCGACAGCCTAAAATAACAAAATATATTGAATCGATAAAACCATGTGTTATTTGCAAATGTACACTAAAAACTTACATCACCCATGTATTTCAGTCCAAAATCGTGCAAGTTCTTGCAGCGCACAAAGCGGACGTCCAAAATAGCATTTAGGCCATCTAAAAAATTTAGGTATGTAAATCAAAATTGGCTTTTAAAATGAGCACAAGCTGGTAGGTCCATGAGCATAAACTTACCAAAATGCCGACAACCATATCCAGTGACAGAAGCATCAATTGCCTCAATGTGCGTCACTCGAACCTAGACGAAAATATTTAAATTAGGAAAAGCACACAAACTTGATCATCAGAAAGACGTGGGTCAAGCTCGGCACAGCGTCTTACCAAAGCATTGTAGTCGGAGAAACGATCGGTGATCTTGTCGAATCTAAAGTTGATAAAGTTACCAAAAAGCGTTATTGAATTATCTATGTTATTCGTGAACCAAATTCACCCAAATAAAGCACAAACTTGACACTTCCTCCACGGCAAATAGAGAATAGAATTCTCTATTTGAATAACAAAAACCTTTTACCAAAATTAAATCACGTACTTGACACATCCTCCACCTGAAATTTATCTGTTAGTAAAGAGAAAACAAAAAACGATCGAGTCTCATAAATAAAGTATCCAAGTTATATAAATGCACCCACAGCGAACAATCCATTCAGCAGCTGCTCGATCGGGTCCAACTTCTTTCACACGTTCTTTGTCGTAACTAAATTAAAAAATAAAAAAAATAAAAAAAATAAAACAAGCTTTGTCTAGAACATTAAAAGCTCAGACTTTTAATACTTTTAAAAGTACTTTTTAAAAAGTACGCTCCATTTTTAGATTAAAAGTTGTTTGGCTCAACAACAACTAATAAAAATACCGAATGAACTCACTAATTAAATCCTTCGATCACCCATCGCAGTCCGGGAATATTGTGATCGCCAAGACGTTGCATAAATTTCTCCTGTTGTCGCATCAAAAAACGCGCCATCGCTAAACAAACTTTATAGCCAAAGAGAATAATTTTAAATGCAATATTTCAAAAACAAGTCTAGATTGCGAAATCTTTTTGCGAAAACTCAAAAGTTGAAGTTGTTGCCCCTTGTTTTCCGAGCCAATCCCATGCACTTTTCAGCAAAAAGAAGGGGTTTGAGAGAAAGCCAACGAGGGTATGGAGAAAAAAATGGACTGCAGTTTGGTCTAGCCAAAGAAATTTATAGCTTTGGCTGTTTGGATCCCCAGGTAAATGAAACTTTTTGCGCAAACCTTAAAAGATTTAAATGTAAATTAAACGTGAAATGGAAATGATTTAAAATCTTAATTGAAAAACTCACGAATAAAATTCCCGGGCCCAGCGTAAGTGAGTACTGGTGTAGTGGCGGCCGCAGCCATTCACGGCCCTCTCTGAAGCCAATGTTGAAGAAAAGCTATCCCATTAATTAGAAAAATTGAAACAAAAAAGCACTAGCAGGAAGGGGCAGCGTGTGTAAATGAAAAAAGTCTATTTTCCTCCATCCTTTGTGTGCGGAAATGGAGAGGAAAGCGGCTGGGAATGGAAGAGGGAAAAGATGCGGGGATGCAGTGTGTGCGGAAGGAAGAAACCGCTGACTATGAGAGAGCCAATAGGTCCTATACTGACTGCTTTCCGCTTTCTTTTTGCGAGAGAGAGATCAACCCCGGGAAACCCCCGGGATGATGGAGAGCGGTGAGAGCTCGTGGGAAAGAATCGTTGAAAATTTGGGATCAAAATACGATTTTCGATCAAGAAAACATTGAGGTGAGTAAGCTCTTTCAAAAAGTGATTGATGAGTCAGTCCTTTGTGAGTAATGATAGAAGCAGAAAAATCGAGCCAAAAGCGATGAAATGTTTCTAAAAGAAACCAAAATTCTAAGTTACCCACTCCACAACAAAATATCAACCTTGAACCTTATTTCCTCAGCGCCTACCTAGACGTACCGTAAAATATTGAAAAAAAACTCCCAAATAAACACGATAAGAATCATGGGACTAAGCTTCAAATTCAACAAGCAATGCTTGTTGTGTTTGCCAGAGGCCAAGATTCACAAACCGAGATTCGATGGTGAAACAGTGGGGCGGGTTCGCATGCACCCAAGAGCATTATGCATCTTCCCATAACCTGCCTCTCAACTATCATCTGTTCTTTTCGTGCGCTGCTTCGGGCAGACATCGGGGACATGCATAGGGTGGGTGAGCGGGGCCGGATCGTGAAAAGGACTTCCCCAGTGTCGAGCACGTGGACCTCCAGTGGTGAACACGTGGATCTTTCAGGGAATACCCCGGCACATCAGAGACAGACGACTAGAGAAATGGGAAGAAACAATGACATCCAGAGGAGAGGACATAGTACACCGATTCTTCCCTCATCAATTGACCCGGCAAAAAAACTTTTCGACAACAGCCACACAAAAACCTTCCTTCGTTTTCTGGAACTTTACTGCAAAGCGTTGAAAACATAGAAAACTATATTTCTCAAAAACCTTTTTGATGAGCGCAGCAAAATGAATTAAAGTTCAAATTGATCCCAATAACTTTTATTAATTAGCAATTCCAAAAAAATTCACAGTTAATACGACGACTGGATGTATTAAAGATCACAGAGTAAAATGCACAAAGAAATATCCAATCACAAACCCTCGAACGATTCAACCCGATAAAACAGTGGACTTGCAAAAGAGAATCCCCAATCAATAAAACTCAAAGCACAAATAAAAACAATTCGATTACAGTGGTTGCTCAAGCATCTTTTCGAGTTCCTGAACTTCGGTGGCCAGTTTATTCGTGATCTCCACTTGTTCGGACCAGAATTGCTCCTCCTGCTTTAAGCGACTCGTCTCCAAAAGGCACAAAGCGCGCAAGCTAAAATAAATCTTACTATAAACGAAATTTTCAAAAATCTTACTCTTTAATCATTCCCGTTTCAAACTCTAACTCATTTGTAATCCAATCGATTTGACTCTTCAAGCGATACCATTATTTTTAATATACAAGAAATGTATACCTGAAGATTGCCGTTTTCCCTCAACAGTGATTCGACATCGCTCGTTTTATGAAACATCTTCGCCACTACAAATTTGTCGAAAAATTACAAAGGCTTAATATTTAAATAAACAAAACCTGCATGCACAAGGTCTTGCGGTAGTGTCGATTGGAGGATAGGGTTTTTTGCATTCAACGGTGCCATTATCTTCGTTTGTTGCTCCTCGTTTCGCAACTCAGCCACCTGTAAAAATCGACATAGAATAAAATTTGGTAATTGTATATCAAGCTCGACAACTTAATAAAGGAATAAACTTAAAAAACTATCATTATTTGAAAAAACCTTTTGAATCATAATCCATCCGTCGATTTCATCTCGAATTGCGTCGAGAGATTTCTTTAGCTCGAGATTTTCCTGCGAATGAACCGGCATCAGCCTAAACACTTTCAAATAAGAATTTCTATTTACAAAGACCAAGTAGAAAAGTTAAAAAAAAGCCCACTGGCCGTCAACCACCATTTTAGGTATTCACAAGAAAAACTTCAAGCACAATTTATTAATTACAATAAACGAGATATCCAGCATCGTACAAATTATCAATGTTTAGTAAAATTAGATGGCAAAATGTTCGAAGTATTGTTATGAAATTGAGCAAGAAGTGGTAGTAGTTGTCCGTTACGGTCGATAACTGATGAATTGCCTTGAGTTTGTGAGAAGTAATGCAGTGACCTGTTGAATTGATGATTTAACGAAATTTATTGCAAAAATACCTTCTACCGGTGATTTGACTTCTGTAGGACACATTCATCACTTGTAACATCGGGAGGACATCGGTGCACAAGTCTTAAATAAGTCAGGTGTTAGTTAATAGCATAATTTTACAACCAACCTTTCCTCCCTTCCATATAATCGAGCGATTCAACAAATTTGGAAATCATTCTCCATTTTGTTTCTTCTCCGGTTGTAGGCTGTAAGTTTAATTACAATACTGAAATTAATGGGAAAAACCTTGAGAGTTTCAAAAATTTGAGGGTAACGGCTTCTTTTCTCGAATTTTTCCTCGTGATGATCCTTATGAATCCAGGAGGGAACAAGCTCCTGGTCTACGCCCTTTAGGTGAGTGCGAAAAGGATCATCGAATTTATTTCTAAAATAAAAACTTTGTTCCAAAAACATAACTCAAACTAACCTTAAATCGATAGGCAGCGAAACTTTCCCATGAGTCGCACATGAAAATTGCAACCAATTTGCAGATTTGTGGAGATCGTTGTTAAAAAACGTTGACAATTTGCTGAAATCTGCCTGTGACAACTTGAAGTTTGAGTTGGCCGCAAGTTTCTGAAATAAAATTGATTCGTCGCAAACTTTTCCAAATGTTACCTCAAGGATTTCCGGGCTATCATCAACCGTCGGAATTTGTATTTGCAATAAGTTAGGCAAGTCAATTAACGGGCCGGATTTTATCTGAATTAGCGCATAATAAAAGAATAGTAAATGATCGTCACCTCGTCTTTGCACGTAACAAAAACAGGCACATGTACGTTTTCCAAAACAGCGGTCAATGATGTGATGAAATTGTAGTCGACTTGGAATGAAATATCGATCTAAAGAAATAACATTTTCCTTAAAAATTAAACTGACATTCGAAACAAGAATAAGTGTATGTTCTCGATCGCCTTTCGTTTTTTTTTCATCAGCTCCAGAATTTGTTCGCTGTGCAAAGAAGTTGTTCAACGACTTCTCCGTTAGGTTTACCTAAAATTAAATACATTCAAGATTTTTAGGATAATTACCCTATGTGAAGTGGCCGCAGCTTCTATGCGTTTCCTTAAACTGTCACCATCTCGTTTATCTCCAGTATGAAGCTCGAGGATTTTAAAACGACACTGCTCAGCTAAACGATATATCTAAAAAATAGTCAATATCAAAGCAGGCATATCGTTCAGCTTACCGACAATTCCTTCGATGTTGAGGGTCCATAGAAAAGCACTGGATTTTCTATCGAGTTATACTCGCCATCAGGATTGTACTCTTCATCCGATTCACACTAAAAGAAAATAGAAAAAATCGAACTTTCCATTTGTTTCTTACATCTTCGTCATCGCTTGACTGTTTCAGTCGTTTTTGTTTCTTTTTTGACTTAGATGCCACAACAGGTTCATCTAAATAAAGGCTTTGAATGAAGAAGCTTAGGAAATCAAACTTTGTTCCTTATCAAGCCTTTTTCGCCATTGTAATAGAATTTTTCTTGCTTGAACCAGGTGTGAATCATCCTGCCACAATGGGCAATCTAACAAGTCCAACTGTTGGCTCCATGGAAGAGGCTCCAGACTTTGACTCTGTTTTTGTTTTTTGCGCCTAAATTTTACCAGTAAAAACAACATAAACACCCTACTTTGCTTTTAAGACTTCAATTTTTTGATCTGGCTCATTTAGCGGCTGTTCGTCAAACGATAAATCGCTCCATTTACTTGATGAGGAAGTGCTGAAAAGACAAAATTTCTTTCTAATTCGCAATAAATTACTGAATTATTGGTTCCTTTCTGAAATTAATCTCCCAAGTTGGCTCTTCGGTAGACATTGTGTTATAGGATAACGAGCCATAACTTGAGTAGGGGGCAAAATCAACATCAACTAAAACTAATTACCATTGTTATCAGTAGTTCTCATTAGCAACTTACGCGAAGCAAATTTAAACGTCATGGCCTTCATAGGAGAGGCCTTTGTCGTCTTCATGGCAATGCTCTAAACAAATTATTAGAAATTAAAATTATATACTTAATATTAAGGCCTCACTTCGTGTTGACAATTTTCTGCTTGTTCCTCTTCCACTTTCGCCTTCTTTACTTGGATTGACTTGGGGTTGAAGAAATGAAGCAATTTTGTCTAAACATCACTTTTAGCTGCTTAAATAGGCATTTTACCTTCCTCGTAAATGCCTCCTCGTTGCTGATTTCAATCACATCCGCTCCTCCGTTCGAATTTTGTAGACATCGTTTCCTCACTTTACCCATCACTAAATCAAAGGATTACAACACATTAAAACAAACCCGTATCAAGAAATCACTAGAAGACACAAATAACCCCAAATAAAGCCAGAAAAAAACAAATTTACTTATTTGTTGAAAGACAGAAGTATAATACTAAAAAGCTAAAATATGGCGTTTATTTTACAAAGGATCCTCGTCAGAGCCAAGATGCTTCTCGTAGAACTTCGCGAGCTCTCTTTTAAAATCATCTTCTGTAGCTTTAGCGAGAGCGAGTTGTTCCTTTAACTCAAAGTCCATCACTTTTTGGTTCGATGATGTTGAGATGACGTGCATCAAGTACTCGATCACTTTTCCCAATTTGTTGTCGATGGTAGCCAGACAATCGGTAAATCCTTGTCCAACTTCATCGATTTTCCCTTTAGTTGTCTTCTTGGTAAGCTCATTGAGACAAGCGGATATGCGCGGCAAAAGATCCCCGGTGAGTTTATGGCATTCGTCTAGCATATCCATTGGTTCTTGGTCTCCTTCAATCGGTGCTTGTAGCCCGGGTGGCCCTTCAGGTTCCTTAGGATCAGCAGCATTGGATGTCGGTGCCGGTGGAATTTGTTGCATGGAGGCTCTCTTCTCCAAACATACCTTCAGATTTTGCTTGCCCGTTGACGGAGTGAATGCCATCTTGCTGAAAAGAATGAATAAAAGGACTAAGATAATAGAAAAGGTTCAATAAAGAGAAACGCATAACGAAAAACCAAAACAAAGGTAACACCACTCAATTTCTATGCAGTCACAAAGTCTTTTAACCGGGTTTCAATTTTTCCTCTCCTTTCACCCTGTCACGAGTATTTTTGCGTCGTGAACACAGAAAAAATGAAATTTGCACAATTTTCGAACTATAGGTTGATGACATGACGCGAAAACCTTAAAAATGAAAAATCTTTAACCTTTCGGACTTTATAACGCCTTTTCCATCATTGATTATAATTTTGATTAGTTTAATATCTTTAATTCCTTACCTTTTGAGCTATTCAGTAAAAAAATAAAACTATATAAAATACACGCAGAAAATTTCCAGCACAGCATTCCCTCTTCCAAATTCTCAACTTCGTCATTCTTTTTGTTTTGTTTTTTTTTAGAAGCCATCGTTTTTGTAATCATTCATTTTAGTGAACGTTTCTATTGCGAAAGATGCCGGTGAAGAAGTGCCTTACCGACGCGGATTTCAATGGAGCTGTGGGCGCAGCCGGCGGAAGGCCCTATGTTGTCGACTTTTATGCGGATTGGTGTGGACCGTGCAAGAAAATTGCGCCCGTCTTCGAACAGCTCTCCAACAAATATCTTGGCGTCGATTTCATCAAAGTGGATGTGGACAAATGCCAAGAAGTGGCAGCAACGAACGGAGTCTCGGCGATGCCCACTTTCGTCATGTTCGTCAACAAAAGCAAGGTCGAGGTTTTGCGAGGGGCTGACCCAAATGCTTTGGAAGCGATGATTCGCAAGTACGCTGAAGTGAGCACGTCGAGTGAAGCGCCTGGTTACATCGATCTTCATCCATTCATTGAAAAGCAACAATCTGAGGCACTCAACAACGACGATGACACCCCGTTGGAGGCTTTTCTTGACGGTCGAGGGAATCTGAAATCGGATTGTGATGAGCAGCTGATCATCTCGTTTCCTTTCAATCAGCCGGTTAAGATTCACTCAGTTATGTTGAAAGGACCTGGCAAACTGGCTCCAAAGAAAATCAGACTATTCATCAATTTGCCGAAAGCCCTTGATTTTGACCACGCTCCTGGAGCTGAAGCCACACAAGAATTCGAGTTGGGACCGAGCACGAGCTCTGACAACGGCGAAGTTGTGGAGCTACGGTTTGTGCGATTCCAAAACGTGCAAAATATTCAAGTGTTTATCGAGAACAATCAAGGAGGCGGTGACGTGACCGAGTTGTGTGCGCTCAAGTTCTACGGTCAGCCACTGTCCGCTGTGAACATGAACGATTTCAAGCGCGTCGCAGGGAAAGCTGGCGAAGCTGGACATTAAAGGGACTTTCTTGAACTTGTCCTATTTTACCTCCAAAATGATAATGGATAATTTTTACTGTACTATTTTTCTTGGTTATTTATTACGGTTTTGCATTGATCTATTGATGGATTTGGTGTCACTTGAAATAAATGAATTTCAGGGCCGATGAGTGTCTGTTTCATTTGCTGCCGAGTGTTCGCAGGATTGAATGGGGAGAAAGACATGTGGAAGCATGTGACTAGTTATCATGTGGATAAAGCGGTATTTTTTTTACCTGTAATTACCTACTTTTAATTTCTTAATAGCCAGAACCTAAACACATGTGCAAGATTTGTGGTGGAGGATTCACTACTCGAACGCACTTGAAACGCCACATCATCTACAAGCATTATCAAGCCGGATTGAGTCCATGTACTCATTGTTCCCGAGTTTTAAAGTAAATTTCAAAATAATACACTTGATTAATTTTTATAACTTTTGAGAGGGTCGGTAATTAATTTTTGCGAATAACTAGGTTATTTCTTTGTTTTAGAAGTCAACGCTCTCTACGAATACATCTTTGTTTGGTGCATTCCGTTTTGCTGAATGGTGAGAAAATCGTCGAAAAAAAATATGCTTGCAAAATTTGTAGCGTTCGCTTTGGAATTGTGGAAGCAGCAAAAGTTTGTTAAAATTTGACTTTAAAAAGCCTTTATCTTTAGAGACACATCTTTTACTGCAAGCGAAACAAGCTAACTCAGGAAAAAGTCATTGCTAAAAGAAGACGTACCAATAGTCAAACCAAAGAAGCTTTATTGACAACTATTGATCAGGCGAGTACTTCAAAACAAAGTGATGCATACGGTTTATGGAAAGCAGGTATATCTAATTGGTTTTGTGATTGATTCATGATAAATTTTAGAGGACGTGGTCGATTCAGGTCAATTATCTGTTTTTGAGCTTCTTCCTAAGCCTAAATCAACTCGCCAAAAATTAGGTGTGTTGTTTCAAATTTTGTTGACATCATACATTTAGACAAATCGTGTATGTATTGTTCCCAAAGTATGTCATCGATGCAATCGTTGAAGCGGCATATCCAAAGGTTTGAGAGTTTTAAATTATCTATTTTGACCATAATAAGTTTAGAAAACACCCGGACAAGATTGAAGAAGCAAATCGCCTAGGAAAGACCTACGCAGCCATAGATTCGGTAGCTTTTGTGAAAAACTCAATTGCAAGTTTTTATAGACGGATTTGCCGTATGCTTGCCTGGACTGCGGACGGCGTGTGGCCAATCGAGCTGCTCTCAGCCTTCATAGACGTCGTGTCCATGAGATTAAAAAAGATCACGTGTGCAGTTATTGTTATAAGCGGTCCGTTTAAGATATTGGATTGTACCCATGCTTTCTTTTAGTTATCCTCTAGCTTCAGAGCTTCGTAGACATATCAAGCGGGTACATGAAGCACCGCTAGAGGAGTCAAACAGATTGAAGGAACTTCAAGAGGTAAATGGTTTCGCATTAGTTGACTTGAGTTTTAATAAACTGTAGTAAATTTTTGATTTTTTTAATAGCGTTTTTAGGTTGTTCTCGCTTTTATGGTCAAAGAAGAACATGGATTAGGAGCTGAAACAGATAGAGAAGACGGTGATGCAGACAAGGATCAATCAATAAACGAAGATGTCAAACAATCAATATCCGAAGGCTGCTGTGTTGAAGCGTTGTTTCCTGTGAACGCTAGCGAAGAACTTTTTGTTAAAGAAGAATTAGAGTCATAAATATTGAGGCCCTATTGGGTTAGATCTTATTCAGCTGTATATAACTCGTGTTGTTAACATTAATAAAGGTTTTGTTTTTTTTTTTGTTTCATTCGGAATGAAAAAGCTCGATTGCGATTAAATATTTAAGAATTTTGGCCGCAGGGGCTTGCTGAATGGAGTTTTAGCGCTTTGGTGCATGTTTGCGGGTCAATCACTCGTCGACGATTACACTCTGCAGGTAAAATTTGTCTCTATCAGATCTAGTTTTTTTTGTTAGATCTTCTCTTCGGACGTCGCTTACTACGCATTTTTGGTCCCGGCTCTACTACCGGCGTTCATCTGTTTCTACTTTGTCATTTGGCTTGGCCACGAGTTCTTTGTCAATAACTGGTTGTTAATTTTCGGGAAACCTTTCAACTTTTGCATACAGAAAAATGGCGAACGTTGACGCGATTCCAGGATTTTTGGCTACATCATTCCCGGGTCTTCCCGTTGAAGTCAAGGATTATATTGCTGGTTGGTTTTCTTGTTTTTTTTTCTTTTGACCGTTATTTTTTAGCTATCCTAAAAGAAAATGCTTCGGAAATGGTTTCCGTTGATGAGATTTTCTCGGCTGTTGGCGATCATCTGATAGCGAATGTGGAAAACCTTGGGGATGATGTGGCTCGCCGTGTCTGTGAGCAATTCATGAAAATGTTGCATGGAGAGTAGGTTTTTGAAATTTTTTAATGTTATGGATTAGGATTGATTCGTTAAAACTATTTTATTTTTTAGCAATGTCCCAGTGAGCGCGAAGCAAGTGGCAACGACTCGAAAACTGGAACAAACTGTGGATATGGCCGCCCAGAAAGACGATTTCCGCGATCGCGAAAGTATTTGGAAGCTTCAAACCCGCGATACTCCAACGGTATTTTACAAAGGATTTTGGGATCTACTTTATGCGAAAATTTAGATTGTCGATAAGGATAAGCTCAAGAAAGCAGAAGCGAAAACGATGGACAAAGCCGTTGCACGTGAAGGAGTTCCAGTTGTCAAGTATCTGAATCAATTTTTTTGTTTAAAAATATGTTTAAAGACGGAAACGGCAAGAGATTCTTGCCACCGCTTCGCAAGCTGCCAATCGAAGAGAACAATCGGGAGCTGGACAAAACTCGCTGAATGTGGCCTTGGAAAGCGTTGACATCTCGATTGGAACGAAGTGAATACAAAAGTAGCTTACCTAAGTTGTAAACCTTCATTTAGACAGCTGTTGAGCAGCGCGAACGTGACGATGGGCTATGGCAGAAAATATGGATTGGTCGGGCGCAATGGAATTGGAAAAACGACACTTCTGAAAATGATTTCCTGGTTTGCTAACGGTGCGATGAATAAACGAAGTTCATGCTTTTAGTGGTCAATTACGAATTCCTCCAAATATACTCATGTTGAGCGTCGAGCAAGAAGTTGAGGGAGATGATACTCGTGTATTGGGTTTGTAACTAGCCATATATCGAGACTGACTTCTTTTCAGATTCTGTTCTTTCTTCGGATGTTAAGCGAATGGAAATGCTCGAAAAGGAAAAGATATTGCAAGAGAGATTAAATAAGTTTGTGGTTTACACTTGTCTGAAAAGCATTTTGTTTTAGATCTGGATTGTCCGATGCCGAGAAGAACAAGCACAACACTGAATTGGCGAAGCTTTATGCGGATATGGAGGTTGTTTTTATTTTTGTCTCTTCACTGTATCATTCTAGGCAAGCGGAATGGATAAAGCTCCGGCTCGAGCTGCATCAATCTTGTATGGTCTTGGGTTTGACCCTGATGAGCAGAAGAAACCGACAAAGTTAGGAAAAACAAATGTTTTACCGGCAAGAGTTATTTAGGGAATTTTCTGGAGGTTGGAGAATGCGTGTCGCTTTGGCTAGAGCACTTTTTGTGAAGCCGGATCTCTTACTTCTCGACGAGCCGACAAACATGTTGGATATGCGAGCCGTTTATTGGTTAGAGGGATATCTTCAGGTAAATGCTAAATCTTTTGCTTCTAAACGGTGATTTAGCAATGGGAAGGAACAATTTTGACAGTTTCCCACGATCGAAAGTTCCTCAATGGTATGTGTTTTATATATTCGTATTCCATTTATAAATTCCAGAAATTTGCACGGATATTGTGCATCTTCACACGCGAAGGCTTGATCAGTACAAAGGAAACTACGATCTATATGAAAAAGTTTTTGAATTAGTGCATATTTGGTTACTGGATTTTTAGACAATGAAAGAAAAGCTGACCCAACAGCAACGAGAATATGAGGCCCAACAACAACTTCGGGGTCACACACAAGTTTGTAGAATTCTTCTCTTTAAATTTCAAATCTTGTTAGGAGTTCATCGATAAGTTCCGCTACAACGCCAAGCGAGCTGCCATGGTGCAATCTCGTATCAAAATGCTTGAAAGACTGTAAGGCTTTCCAAGTGCAAGTTGTATGAAAACCGTTCTTTTAGGCCCGTTTTGCAGTCCGTTGAGATAGAGTCCGAGGTCCACTTCCATTTCCCAGAATGTGAAGAGCTGAGCAACCCGGTCTTGATCCTCGACGATGTTGGATTTAGGCATGGTTTCGAGCAAAAAACTAAATTAGTTGTAAATAAAATGTCTCATTTTTAAATTTCAGGTATAATGCCGAATCTCCATTCATCTTCCGTAAGCTCAACCTCGGAACACATGCGCAGTCTCGGATTTGCATTGTAAAGTTTTTAAGAAAAATTTTATTTCGGCGAATACTTAGGTCGGAGAAAACGGAGCCGGTAAGACGACGCTGCTCAAATTGCTTCTTGGTGATTTGGATCCAAGCACTGGAATTCGTCACACCAATCGGTAATCGGTTAATGAAAAATCTAACACTTTTACTTTTAGTCGTTTGCGCATTGGGTATTTCACTCAACATCACGTGGACCAGTTGGACATGGTATGTTTATGGATAGATATTTATGAACTAGCACATGCACAACCTTTCACTTTTTCGGTATTTTTCTGTTTGTTTGTTGATTAATCTTTTATGTGTCAATACATACCTTTTGACTGACTATTTTATTATGTTTCTATCGTTTCGATACCTGATTCTAGGAACAATTTAAGGTTAGGTGTTCATTGTTTGTTTTGGTAGATGAGCGATCGTGAGGATGGTCCGATCAGAAATAAGGTTCGGCTTTTATTTTACTCAAAGATTTTTATTGTTTTTGTCTCGAGACGGTGAGCACTTCAGCGACAAGAACAGCCGATCGACCATCGACTCCTGCTCTTCATTTCGAATGCGAGGAGAAACGTGCACAGCTGGAGACGTTCTATGAATTCATGAACGCGAGGCGGAAAACTATCTGTCGAAGAAGGAAAACGACCTATTGAAGGAACATCGAGGAGACGAAGCATCTCAGCCTGAAAGCAATGAGATGACCTGCAAGGAGCTCTTCGAGAAGCACAGCATAACGAAAGGAAAGGGTTATTTCTACGCGATTTTCCCCGTTTCGCTCAAAGGATTCCCAAAGGATGTCAACGAGTGGGCGATTTGGTATTGTGGGAAGAACGACGCCGTGAAGGGCACAATATCCGATCAAAGACTAGCCCAGCATCGGTCTGAAGTTGTTCTTGACTTGCGAAACAGACCAGAAACGAAAAAGGATAAATCAGATTGGATTTCATTTGTTCGTGGCGTCTCATTTGCGCGAAGGAGTCTGAGTCTCGTTTATAAAACTTCTCTGGTATCACTCCTGTGCCCTTTCATATATGGAATCTTCGAACATTAGGTATTCGGTAAGAGCGACAATCGAATTTTTGCTCTGCTCAAGCTACGAGAGCTATTCTCGATGATCGCCTCTACGGGAAATTTCTTCTTCAACGACTTCTCATGAAGAGCAAGATTTGATGTGCCCTCCCAGTAACGAATGAAATCAGATGATCTTTTTGCAAGGAATCAGATGGGACCCATGCCAGCCGAAAATCTATAAAGATCCCCGATGATCTCGACGCCGAGGTTCAAAAGACATTCCCGCTAGGAAAAGCATCCGCGCTTTGAAGGCCGCAGCACGAGAAATTGCGAAAACCCGCGGAAAGGTGTTGAAGGTTCTCATTTTTCCATTCCTCATTTGGTTACCAGTTACTGTCCCGATTCCGAGGATGCATTGGATACAAAACGATATCTTGTTGATTATATTATTTCAAAACGTTCTTATTTTTGTGCATATGCTTCTATTTGTGATAATTGTTATTGAGTGATATCCTGTTGTGCATGTGTTAGGGCTATTAATCATTTGTTGTTTGTTTACTTTTTACTAACAGATAAATTTCAGGATCAAACGGCTCTAGAGGTTCTGACCACAAATCATCCTGGTACTTTTAAAGCAAATGACCACTTTTTAAGATTTGTTTTAGGACGAACGCAAGAAGAATATCGTGCTTCTTTGGGCCGATTTGGAATCATTGGTTGGTTTGAGCTTTTTAATCGCCTTTTTCTGAAAAGGTTGTTTTTGAATGAGGTGAATAATTTTTTTTGTAGGTGATACGGCCCTCCAACCAGTTTACACACTTTCTGGGGGACAGAAATCTCGTCTCGCTTTTGCCAACATTGCTATGGCCAAGTAAAAGTTCCTTTGTTTTACTAAAATTTCCATTCTTCAGACCCAACTACTTGATTATGGACGAGCCCACTAACCATCTTGACGTCGAAACTGTGGAAGCCCTTGGAAAAGCTCTCAACAAGTTCAATGTAAGTTCTTTTTCAGTGACCGTTAAAGCATAGCGAACTTTTAGGGAGGAGTGGTTCTCGTTTCCCACGACGAGCAACTCATTTCGCTTGTCTGCAGAGAACTATGGGTATTTTCTGGGAGAATTCATGCAGCCATGATAAGTTTTTTTTTTTAGGTTGTGAAAGATCGCATGGTGAGCAATTTGGAGGGCGGATTGGAGGAGTACCGCAAGCAAGTCTATAAACAATTACAATTGGCCGCTTAAGGCATTTTCCTGTTTTCTGTTAGTTGTTTTACGTTTCATTGTGATAATTGTTAAAGGATAATTGTTTTTTTAGAAGTTTTGGTTGATAAAGCTGATTTTCAGGAAAGCGAAACAGTGAACAGATGAGTAAATGGAGTGTATGAGATTTTTAAGCATACTCTTACTGAATAGACGATCAAATTTTTAAATCCTATTCCTTTTGGAGTTCTCTTCTAATGTTGAGTGCCGCCCCGGCACCCTCTTCGCTCTTCGTCGTTTCTCCTCAACCAGAAATCCACCCACCGAACACATTCATTCGAAGTTACACGTTCCCGCTCGATCGCTAACTCAACTGACCCTTCCCCTCAATTGGATAACTCAACTCGGTGTTTTTTTCAATAAATTGAGTCTAAAAACAGTAAGGTGAGAATTAGTCGACAAGTAGAGAATAAATTTGGATTGAAAAGGCAACACAAAGCCAGTAAATGGATTCGTTTCTGTTGAAAATGACCAAGATAAAAACCAGAAGAGTTTTGTTGTTTTCTGATATTGATCAATGATTCAAATGGAGATGGAAATGTCGATCTTGAGACCTCTGACTTTTGTTCTTTCTATCCGGTGAGAGGGACTTTTTGAAAGTCAGCAATCGAATAAAATACAGTTGACCCTCAATACAATGGACTCTCAGGGACCAAATTTCGATTACACTAGACAGGGTGTTCAATAATTGCCGGCACTAGTTTTTAGGAAACCTTTTCTATCGAAAAACTTTTATCAAAAAAAAAATTAAAATAAATCATCCTTTTCGAAACAAAGCGTCGATAAGTGCGAGCACTTTTGATGGCTTCTTGCACACGTATCTGCTCAGTCTTTCGCCGGGCTTCAGAAGGAAAATCGTATCATTCAGTCCGTTCTTTTTAGCGATCGCATCATAGCACATCTAGAGTGATTGATGTTTTCCGCACTTGGCTACACTTGACCATTTTCGGTCAACTAGCAGTCAACTTTTTCAAACGTTCTTTTCGGCATTTGATAGCATTAAGGTCTGTCGTTTAGCGAAACCAATTCCCCATAATAAATTCCATAATAAATTCCAAGTCTATATCCAAAAAACTTTTTCAAACTGGTGCCGCGACCATATATTTGATCTGATCTATTCAAGAGATGCACAAAAAGTATATGTACAAGTATCAGCCATTTCAGTAATGGGAGAATGGGGACAATGGCTTTGGTTTTCTTTTATTCTATGTATTAGGTTGGCGACATTGAAATTTCGTTTGCGTTTCTCTTTATGGATTTTAACACTGTGGATACTATTACCACCGCAATCTCTTCTGTTTTAAAGATATAATTATTGTGCTTTATTACGCGTCTTTTCTTTATTTCTAGTTGAAGAATTTTAATAAAAAAATCTTATAGATGCTAAATGACCTCAAAATATCGACTTCGCATTTGTTGCTGTACGATTTCAAACATGAAAAAACAGCAACTGAATCGCATGAATCACTTTGTAACGTATTTGAGAAAGATGTTATCACTGTTCATCAATGTCAAAACTGGTTCGAAAGATTTCGAATGGGTGACGGAAGTCTGGAAGATCTGGGACGAGGACAAACGACGATTTGAAGCAGATAATCGAAAGTGACCCGATAAAGACTACATATGAACTTGCGGAATATTTTAATTGTGATCATAAAACAAGCGAAAACCATTTGCATGAATTGGGCAAGCTCAATAAAGCTGGAAAATGGATTCCACATTCACTAAGCGATGCAAGCAAAGCCATCAGAGTTCTTTGTTCAGGAAATTTGCTTAGAATTTCCAAGAATAGTGGATTTTGGGATGCAATTTTAACTTCTGATGAGAAATGGATTCATTATGACAATATTACAAGGATAAGACAATGGCTCGACCCGGGGGAAATTTCAAAGCCAATACCTAAACCAGATTTTCACGCAAAGAAAGTTATGCTGTCGGTTTGGTGGAATACCCGAGGCCTGGTCCATTTCGAAGTGTTAATTTCTGGTCAGACTGTTGATGCAAATCTTTACGTTCAACAACTAGATCGCGCGGACGCGGTTCCTCGCTCAAAAGGAATTGATCCAACAACGGTGCGATTGTTACAAGACAATGCCTATCCTCACGTTGCCAAAATTACGCAAGAGAAGATTGAGCAATGGGGCTGGGAACTTCTAGTTCATCCGCCTTATAGTCCAGATATTGCCCCGTCTGACTACCATTTCTTTCGAAGTATTCGGCATTCACTCGAAAGCCACAAGTTCCAGAACATTGACGGCATCAAAAAATGGGTCTCTGCTTTCTTTCAATCAAAACCAGCACAATTCTTTCAAGAGAGTATCCATAATTTGCGTTGAAGAAGGAAAAAATGTTATTGATAGCTGTGGGGAATAGATTGTCGATTAATTGTTTCTAGTTTATTTTTACGAATAAACTTGTTGCTGCAAAAAAACGAAATTTCAATGTCGCCAACCTAATACATTCACAGTTGATTTGCACTAGCTTTATTTAAAGCAAAATAGAGCAAATTGTCAAGTTAATGAAATGAAAGCATTAACAAATAAATCGATATACATTATAGAATGATTGTAATGGATCATAGTGAATCGGTTAAATGTATTCAATGTACTTTCAATCAAATTCACAGATCATCCCTTTTCAAGTCGTTTCCTTTCACATAATAGGGAAGATCATAGGTTTTTTTTGATTTTCGACAAGTTCTAAAGAAATTCTCATCATTTCTGGTGATCATTCATGTTTATTTGATTTTGTGTGAGCTACAGGCTACGACACTCAAGTTTACAGGAATAGTCTGCCTTAGTACTACTTTCTCACTACTTCCCTTGCATTAAGGAAGTATGGGGCAGGCTAACCAGCAAAATATCCACTGGATAAGGATAGATTGACAGTAACAGACATCAAATCAAATGCAGAAATACGTTTAGTTCATCGTTTTGATTTCGCATAGTAGAGTTCTCACCCATCAACCTGCAAATAGCTCACCTGCAACAGCAACAGCAACAACAAATCAACAAACATATCAGAATGCCACCAAATATATGGTAAGGCAATGGTTGGAGATGTACACAACAGTCTCCATGGCAACAAGTGTAATAGACCAGGGCTGATGCGTTGCCTGAAAAGTTATCCTGATCTGATAATCCAATCCATTCAATCCATTTCATTTCCAATCCATTCAATCCACAAATAGTTACCCTAATTCATTTAGTAAGCCAATCTGATCAACAATCTTTAATAGTAATTTTCTTAGTGTAATAAGTCAGTAGATTTTCGAATAAACAATCTTTGTCCCTTTCTCTTTGTTTTCAATTTCAATCTTTGTTTGCAAACAAGGCTCTTTTTGCAAGCAAAAGGCTCTCTGTACAAACCATATTTAGCTCGTTCATTCTTATCACTCAAATTTGAATTGCTGAACAAAATGCGTCTGCCAGCAGCTTTATAGAACATTTTAAAACAAAAGAAGGCAATACTAATCGTTTTATCGTTTCATCGGTGACGCACAAAATGACTGTTTTTTAGGCTGGATATGTATTTAAACGTGTTTTCTAATTGAAAACAGTGTGAATTAAAATTGTGAAGCAGAAAACTGCAGAAAAGTTGATTAGAAGTTGGGAAAAAGTGATTTGTTACAGTGATTTTCATAAGTGTAAATTTGGCGCAAAGGATTTTGGCGCAAAAAACGCGGCGCTTTTGCTAGCACCGCGATAATTTTGATGAAATGGTCTAACCCTTTCGGTGCCTTTTTGCATATAAATCGATTCAATCTTTGATTTGAAGTCATTTCTTGAAGATGCGTTGCGTTGATATCAAATCGTCTCTTCATATGCGCAGCATAGCACAGCTAAAGACTTGATTGAAAGCATTTTAGTCACAGATTTGCAATAATGGAAACCATCGATGGGTCCCGTTTTTGAATTCGGCTCTTTATCAAGTTAAAAATTTTCCCCGGAGTTATGGGGGTGTGGAATTCGAATCGGCTATTGGTTTCGAATCGGCTGTTAGTTTTGAATCGGCTGTTAGTTTCGAATCGGCTGTTAGTTTTGAATCAGCTGTTAGTTTCGAATTCGAATAGGTTTCTCTAATTTAGTGGGTGTAAAAAAGTACAGCAAAATTCGTCGCCATAGAAGCCGTATTCGTGGGCCTGAAATTGTGTTTTTCGATCGCCTATAACAAGTGAAATGGTTGAAAAGTGAAATGGTCAACAGAAAATTGTTCACTTGAAACACTTTCCATTTCTATTCTTGATAGATTTTATCGCCTATTAAGGCTCTTCAAGGTTTTAAGTTTCTGCAAACAAAGTGCTTTCGTAAAAAGACTTTTTCTATTTGAATCCTGTGACAAGTTTGTGACAAGCATTCGCATTATCTTTAGATTGTTTGCAATTTTTTTGAGATATTTGTTTTCACTTTGCGATTGAATAAAATGATGACTAGGCATCTTACCTAAATTACACTCATTTGCCGCTGGGAGAAAGTAAATTTATATAAAAATATTTGTTCTCTTCTTTATCTCTCTTCAAAAAATAGGTGTGAAGGAATGAGAGGGAGAGAGAGAGAAAGAAATAGAGAGTAAGAGTGAGAGAAAGAGAGAGAGAAAGAGAAAAAGAAAGAAAGAAAGAAAGAAAGAAAGAAAGAAAGAAAGAAAGAGAGTGAAAGAGCTAAAAAACGAAGCGTTATCTCTTTAAAGAGAAAAACATTGCGCCACCTTTAAAATCTATTTAAGAATAACGAGAAAAGTTTCAAATATCTCAATTTTGTTTAACATTTTTCTAAATTACTTTATTAAAACTGATTGTTTTTAAAGAATTCTTTTTTAAAGTTACTTTGCCATTTGGCAAGTGAAATTCTATTTTTTTTAGCTAATAGAAAAATGAGTTCAAATCAGTTGGTGGTGAGCGATAAGAGTCGTGAGCAGGCACTTTTACAACTTCAAGGCCCTAAGCTAGACGTGAGTGAGAGTGTGAAATGAAAATATGAAAAAAAACCTTAACTATCAAAATTATTTCAAAAGAAAAGTCAATGTTTTACGGCTTTTAATGATGTTTTTTGATTTCTTATTGATTATCGTATTCTTATAAAACTAAAGCTGAAAGCTGAAAGTTAAAGCAAATTTTCAGCAAAGTCAAGGTAATTTAAGTGTATTTTTTCGAATTACAGATTCCTACAAGAATTTCAGATGGCATACGCAAATCTAGTGAGGAAATCGAAGAAAAAACGCTTGTCATTGCCTCGATAAACGAAGCCATTCTATTGGTGACTAAAAAGTTGAGCGAATGTGAGCAAATGCAAAAAGCATCAGCCAAGTGCAAAGTGACGCTGAGTCTATGGCTTGACTTTCTCAACGGAATAACCCTAGCCATCGAAAGGATAAATGAGAATACTAATTGTAATGATAAAACCCAAAAAAGAGCAATTCAAAATTTCAAGACTAGGTTTGATTCAGCTATTGAACTTCAATTAAAAGAAAGTTTATTGTTTAGCATCGTGTTTCAAACAAATGACCTTTCTTTGTCTGTTTTGTGAGCTTGTTTTTTTGCAGATAAAAATAAAAATTTTGAAATTGAAATAAATGATTTGTAGAATGTTTTATGAAAAAAAAACTTTCAACAGATGATAACTTTTCGATCTAAAAGGAGAAAATGAAACATTTCAACATATACAATCTGTCGAAAAGAATTATAGACGCATCCTGTTTTTTACTACAATCTGTCAAAAAAATTATAGACGCACCCTGTTTTTTGCTAGTTTAGAGCCGAATATAAGTGCTAGTTCAGTGAAAAGTATTTTTTTAGTTTCTTGAATGTAAAAAACAACCCATGCAAAATTTCAAGTCATTTCACTCATCCAAAGTACTTTATCGTACAAAAAACGTTTTATCGGCTGTCAAAAAATTATAGACGCAAATTAAATTTGACGATTTATTCTATTGATAATTGTTGGCTCGGGTGGAAAAAACGCATAGCGATGTGCTCCACACGCTTGGCCACTCAAACAGGGACATTGCTCGTCGCATCGGACGTTCTGAGAAGTGTATTCGCATGTATCTCGAGACTAAAGTGACTCCTAAGAAGAAAGAAACACGGAGCCGGAAGGAAAAGTTGACCGATCAAGACGAATGCGCAATTACGAGACGTCTTTCCAACACAACGACATCACTCGAAGAGGTTCGCAAGGAGATGAAGCTTCCGGTCACTCGCCAAACTGTGCACAACTTTTTCAAACGATCTTCAATACTCAAATACAAACTCATGAAGCAAGCTCCACGACTTACAAAGGACCATAAAGCCGCCCGTATCGATTTCGCTCAAAAGAACCAGAAGACCAAATGGGAAGGAGTTGTTTTACTAGTATTTCTTATATATTTTATGTTTAGATCATTTGGAGTGACGAAAAGAAGTTCAGCCTTGATGGTGCTGATGGTTTTCGAGGATATTGGATGGATTCACGAAAGCCGGGCATGGTCTTCAGCACGAGGAAATTTGGAGGTGGATCATGTATGGTATGGGGAGCCTTTCGAGACGATAAGCTGGTCGGCTTAGAGTTTATTTCGACCCGGATGACATCGCTTGACTACAAGTGTTGGACAAAAATCTAGCCGTCTATCTGAACAACAATCCGGGCAATAACTTTACTTTTATGCACGATAACGCGAGTATTTATGCAAGTTGCTCCACATGAGATTGGCTAACAAAATCGAAAATCGACACTCTCGCTTGACCCGCTTGCAGCCCCGACTTGAACCCGATTGAAAATGTGTGGGGGACAGTTGTTCGAGATGTCTACAACGGAAACAGGCAATATTTGAGCGTAACTGAACTCAAGAAAGTCATTCAAGTCGCCTGGAACCGGCTTCAGCCAACAGCGCTCCATGACCTTGTCTCTTCGATGCCGAGACGTCTTTTTGAAGTTGGACTAAAGCAAGGAGGGGCCACACATTATTAATTTATTTGGTTTGTGTTGTTATTTTTATTTCTGTTAACGTTTTCTTGATAAAATAAAAGTGCGTCTATAATTTTTTTGACAGCCGATAAAACGTTTTTTGTACGATAAAGTACTTTGGATGAGTGAAATGACTTGAAATTTTGCATGGCTTGTTTTTTAAAGACATTAAAGAAACTAAAAAATACTTTTCACTGGACCAGCACTTATATTCGGCTCTAAACTAGCAAAAAACAGGGTGCGTCTATAATTTTTTAACAGATTGTAGTTTTGTTGCTCAGCACGAGAAATTGCGAAAACCCGTGGAAGGGTGTTGAAAGTTCTCATTTTGCCATTCCTCCTTCGGTTACCAGTTACTGTCCCGAGTCTGTGGATGCATTGGATAAAAACGATATCTTGTTGATTATATTATTTCAAAACGTTCTTATTTTTGTGCATATGCTTCAATTTGTGATAATTGTCGTTGAGTGATATCTTGTTGTGCATATGTTAGGGCTATTAATCATTTGTTGTTTGTTTACTTTTTACTAGAGTGTGTTCTACTAGAGAGTAAGTAGTAAAATTGCATGAGTAATCTTGTACTCGATTAATCGGTGTTTTTGGTTGAGTGACTACGAGTAATCCTCTTTAAACGTCGAGTAAATTGAATATCTTTACATTTGACGGGAATTTGCCACCAAATCAGTTGAACGGTTGAGTATCTTTAAAAGGATGACGCGACGCTCGTGATTTTTGCGGCATTTTTTTTGCAATAATTTAAGCGCAGTAATTTTTTCATAAGCGTGCGTTTTAAAAAACGCATTACGCGCGAAGAACACACTCTACTTTTTGCTAACAAATAATTGTTGATAATTGTCGTTGAGTGATATCTTGTTGTGCATGTGTTAGAGTTATTAATCATTTGTTGTTTGTTTACTTTTTACTGACAGATAAATTTCAGGATCAAACGGCTCTAGAGGTTCTGACCACAAATCATCCTGGTACTTTTAAAGCAAATAACCACTTTTTAAGATTTGTTTTAGGACGAACGCAAGAAGAATATCGTGCTTCTTTGGGCCGATTTGGAATCATTGGTTGGTTTGAGCTTTTTAATCGCCTTTTTCTGAAAAGGTTGTTTTTGAATGAGGTGAATAATTTTTTTTGTAGGTGATACGGCCCTCCAACCAGTTTACACACTTTCTGGAGGACAGAAATCTCGTCTCGCTTTTGCCAACATTGCTATGGCCAAGTAAAAGTTTCTTTGTTTTACGAAAATTTCCATTCTTTAGACCCAACTACTTGATTATGGACGAGCCCACTAACCATCTTGACGTCGAAACTGTGGAAGCCCTTGGAAAAGCTCTCAACAAGTTCAATGTAAGTTCTTTTTCAGTGACCGTTAAAGCATAGCGAACTTTTAGGGAGGAGTGGTTCTCGTTTCCCACGACGAGCAACTCATTTCGCTTGTCTGCAGAGAACTATGGGTATTTTCTGGGAGAATTCATGCAGCATGATAGGTTTTTTTAGGTTGTGAAAGATCGCATGGTGAGCAATTTGGAGGGCGGATTGGAGGAGTACCGCAAGCAAGTCTATAAACAATTACAATTGGCCGCTTAAGGCATTTTTCTGTTTTCTGTTAGTTGTTTTACGTTTCATTGTGATAATTGTTAAAGGATAATTGTTTTTTTTTGCTTTTTAGAAGTGGGTTTTGGTTGATAAAGCTGATTTTCAGGAAAGCGAAACAGTGAACAGATGAGTAAATGGAGTGTATGAGATTTTTAAGCATACTCTTAGTGAATAGACGATCAAATTTTTAAATTCTATTCCTTTTGGAGTTCTCTTATAATGGTGAGTGCCGCCCCGGCACCCTCTTCGCTCCGAATTTACCCCCAAAAGATGTTGCGCGTCCAAATGAAATCACCGCTGACCGCCGCTCTTCCCCTTCAACCAGAAATTCTCCCACCGAATGCGTTCGCTCGAAATTTTGTGTCCCTTCTTTTTGTTCAAATTCATCACCCTTCATCCAATTTACATTGGCTATCGTTCTTTGATTTAACAGAACATTGGCAGGGTCATTTTAAGAGCATTTTTCTGGGTGTTGCTTAGCTTTATGATCCTGTTAACGAGATGGAAACCAAGCGGGACTTGGCTTGGCTTGCTCACAGTTTCTAGTGGCCAATTGGAACATCTTGGCCGGTTTATGGAACTTAAATACTTAAGTTCAAATGGGTCTTTTGAAATGTTGATGCAAAATTTTCTCAAAGAATCCATTACCCATTTGCTGACACTATTTTCTAAGCAAAGCCCTAAATTGACATCAATTTTCTTGATTCTAAACTGAAAAAGAAGTGAAAAACGATTTTGGGTTTGTGCGCGCGCGTTGGTTCTCATGGGAACGACACGAGGCAAAAAGGGGAAGCCTTTTGGAGAGGGTAAAAGCGAGTGACCAGTACGAGTCACTGAGTGGACACTGGCTTCACTTATTCACTTACACGGCTTGGCACCACTTTTCATTTTCCCCTTTTCAGCTCAGGTGTTTTCCTGGAAATTGAAAGTTGCTTTTTTTGCTTTTTTTGATGATCCAAGAGCTCGTAAATCTCGTTTTTTCCGAAATTATTCAATTGTAAACTTTTTTGAATAGGATAGACGCTTTAAAAAGTGATAGGCTTTTGTGAATTAGTTAATAAATGTTAGTAAATGTTTTGTAGTTACTGTTTGAGTAATACAGAATTTTAGAATCGTTATATAGAGTATTTTTGATCCCTTCAATATCGTTATAGAGAAAAGTTTGACGGTATTAGACTATCCAGAAAGTTAATTTTAGAGAACCTGGGGCAGACTTTAGCAACTGAACGACTTTCTGAGCGTCTAACTCGAGTTGGAAAACGTTTAGCAGTGTTCAAATTGTAATGAAAACCTTTTGCGATTAACTAATTCACTTCAAATGGTCGTCCTATTAAAAAAAGATGAAAGAACAGTTTTTGAATTGATTTAATGGCTTTGAGTTGGATTAATGGCTTTTGCAAATTTTTGAGTTTTATATGGTTCTATAGTCTTGGATTTTTTTCAAACCTCGGTTTAATTACCCAATTACCCTAACGTTACCGCTAGTTCGGGAACGCGGGAACAGCCGGGAACGTTACTTCGGGTGGGTGGGGCAGTATTTCACATTCATTCGGGCAACGCAGTTAGGGCGGGTGGGCTGAAGATTTGGTTTTTAAAAGTTTGCATATTTTGTCTTTTTAAGGCTTTTGTGAATTATATTATATATATATATTCATACTTTATTCAGGACATGAAATAAAGCGTAATCAGTCAGACAATACACAAATCTACACATAAATACATAGAGAAAGATGAGATATTTTACTCGGCGATGTGGAGGCGGGGAGAAAAGAAGATAGATAGAAGATAGGCTTCTTGCTTTAATAACCTCAGGCCATGAATGGGCCAACCCAGGTGAACTCCGCTAGAGAAGGGATCTCTAGTCAGCTCTAGAGAAGAGACCTCTAGTCTGGGCGCGCAATTAGTTAATAAATGTTAGTAAATGTGTTGTAGTTATAAAGATTTACTTTTTGACTAATATAGAATTTTAGAATCGTTATATAGAAATTTAACTTTAATATTTTCACATTTTCATTCAACTTTTTTCTTCTTTTATTTTTTTCTGGACATTTGAGTTATAAAGTTTTGAAACGCAAAGTCTGTAACATTTTTTTGCGTTTCTTTTTTATGCAAAAGATATAGAATCTTTAAGATTTTAAATACTGAAATCTATAATGAAATTTTTGGAAAAACTCTTTCCTCCATTAACTTTTCCATTAACAATTATTTCAATTTCGAGGCTTTTCTCAATTTTCGCCTCAATTTTTCAACTCAATTTTTTTCACCAAAAAACGTACCGATTGAAATAAGGTTTACTTAGCAACTTTTCACTTAGCTTTTCGCCAATTATTTTTCTGTAAAATATCATTAAAACGAGTTTAAAATGGCTTATTTTTGAATTTGGGAAAGAAAGAAAAAAAAACTTTCTGGAGAGTCTACAATTTGAACACTGCTAAACGTTTTCCAACTCGAGTTAGACGCTCAGAAATTCTCGTTCAGTTTTACTAAAGTCTGGTCGAGGTTCTCTAAAATTAACTTTCTGGATAGTCTAATACAGTCAAACTTCTCTATAACGATATTGAAGGGACCAAAAATTTCTATATAACGATTCTAAAATTCTATAATTCTATATAGCGCCCCACATTTTCTGCGTAGCTGCCCTGTGCGGGCAATGATTGCACCTAATTGAGCAGCTATGCAGAAATTAGAGGCATCTTTTAGAATTTCAAAATCATTACCGTATTTTCTCTAATAGAGCGTCGCCTAAATTCCTCGAAATCTCGAGAACCGCTTATCAGAACCTATCGATGTGGGGTCGGAAAATGTAGCTGACGATGAGATCTTGACGATGACTAGAGGGTTGAGCTTCTGCAAAAGCTTGGAAACCGTAAAATAGTCACCAACTCGGCTCGCCCGGGTGCACTACGATTAGAGAAAATACGGTATATAGAAGATCGTTATAGAGAAATTCTACTGTATTTATGTCTCTTACAACTTGAGTTTCTCTTGAGATCTAAATTTGTGTGTTTCCGGCTTTTCTAAAGAGTCACATCCGGTCTTTGGAGCGATTACAATATCCAAATGAGTAAAGGTTTTCAATCATTTCGAACGAATTCTTATCGACAAAAGTTTTCCTATAATTTTGACCATCTATTGCGCGATCGGTTCCGAATGATCTTCTGCTGCTTTACGCTTTTGTTCGTCTTAAAAATAGAACAAACTCAATTGAAGTTTTCTTTTGCTTGAAAAGCTAAAAAGCTAAATCAGCTTTGCTGAGCTGAGCTGAGCTGAGCTTTGCTGAGCAGAGCATTTAAAGAGCTCTGTGCAAGCGATCCAAAAAAACATTTCCTTCATTGAAACAACGTTGCTTCTTTGAAATAACAACGCTATCGCTATCAGTGTATCAGTCAGCTAACAACTGAAGTAACGCTATCTGCGAACTCGCTAACTTTCGCTAATCTTAAAATTAACCAAGAAAAACAACTTAATTCTAAGCGTTGACACCTAATTTTGTTTAAAATTTTGTTTAAAAGTTTATTAAGTTTAATCTATATAAATTTATATTGGAAAAGGATAGCGATAGCGAAAAAGGATAGGATTTGTATTTGTATGGAAAAGGATTTGTATGGAAAAAGCGTTTGTATGGAAAAGGATAGCGAATCTTGTATCATTTTGAACATTTTGAACATTTTGAACATTTTGAACATTTTAGACATTTTAGAAAATTGCGGTTTCAAATTTTCCAAGTTTCAACCCAAAAAACTCCCATCAATTTTCCACTTTCTTCTTGAAATCTTAAGAATAAAAAGATGGTGAAAGGGGAGAAATTCATAATGTTTCTGAGTCCTGGGGGAATGTGGTGAAGAAGGGTTAAGGGTGGAGGAGAGGAGAGGAGAGGAGAGGAGAGGGCGAGTGGAGGGCAATCAGAGGCCATCGGGGTGAGAGGGCAGAGTCCCTCAAATAGAACCCCCGATCCTGAAGAACCCCTCCCTCCCCACCCCCAAAATGAGCCTAGACTGGGGCTGGGCCATCAGAAAGAGTGCAGGGAATTCTCATCCATTCATTGTTCTCATCGCGCAATCCTTTTCTTCTCTTTTTCAATGTCTTTACGTAAATTTGATGACTTTTCTTTAAAAAACGATTACTTGCTCACTTTTTCGGCTATTTTTTGTTTGTTTTTGTTGTTTTTGTTATCTTTTTGTTATCTTCTTGTTCTTTTTGTTATCTTTTTGTTGTCTTTGGGGGTGGGACAAATGCGATCTTTTTTTTGCGCACCTGGACATTTGCGCACCTTTTTTTTTGCTGGAAGCCTTTTCCAGCTCTTAGGCAAGTTCGTAGACCTTCAAAAATGTTTTCACAGAAGGGAATCGTATGCGTAGATTCAGAATTTCGACAAATCAGACCTCGCTGACACGTTAAATTTGGGCTAAAAGGCAAAAACTACGCAACTTAACGCTTTTCCGCAGTTTTTGCCTTTTAGCCCAAATTTGACGTGTCAGCGAGGTCTGATTTGTCGAAATTCGGAATCTACGCATACGATTCCCTTATATGGAAATATTTTCGAAGCTCTACGGCCTTGCCTAAGGCCTTTTCCAGCAAAAAAAAGGTGCGCAAATGTCCAGGTGCGCAAAAAAAGGTCGCATTTGTCCGACCCCCTTATCTTTTTGTTCTTTTTGTTATTTTAACACCTTTTTTGTGCTTTTTTCAATTAGAAAAACTAGAGACTTAGTTTCTTCGCCACTAAAAAACTGCCAAAGCGTTTTTCCGTTTTTCATTTTTTCCAAAGCGTTAACTAAAGCCCATATCAGCGTTAGAGCTTAAAATTGAATTAAATTTCAATTTCTTTATCGCATTTTGTATTAGCAGCTTTTAAACCTTTGAGAAAACACTTTTTGACTCCGTTTCTCTTTTTTAAATCACTTTTTCTTTGGGAATCTGAATGAAAAACGCGAAAATTCCCGAATTTTCGACTTTTCTCCAAATCTCTGAATGGAACGCTTTTTTTTTGC